CAAGGGAAATGGAATGAGCTGAAAGTTTTCCAGGTCCTTCATGGGAATCATTTGAATTGATACATTTCTGAGGTTGACAGTACCCTCTGCATGGGCTGTCTGAGGTGGAGGAAGGGCAGAAAGGGGACAGGAGATATTTTCATATCTCAGCCTGCCTTTGGGAGGGGATGAGGAGGTGCAACAACAAAAACTTCCCTCCCCATGGGTTGTCTAATGTTGTTTTTTCCTTTCTCTTGGAAGACTCCTTGACGCCTGGAATGATGGGTTCCCATCAGCAGAAGGGCGACAGCCAAGGGATGTCTGGGCAGTCTGGTGGATGCCATGGTGGTGGTGGTGGAGGAGGTTCATGCCACGGAGGAGGTGGAGGAGGAGGAGGATGCTGCCACAGTGGTGGTGGAGGAGGACACCAGAGCCAAGGATCATCCTGCCATGGAGGAGGAGGCAGCAGCGGCGGCGGTGGCAGCGGAGGTGGTGGTGGTATCATTTACCAGACCCATATACCATCGTCCTCCATTGGAGGAGGAGGAGGTTCAGGCCACCAGAGCCAAGGATCCATGAGTGGCGGAGGTGGAGGAGGTGGTGGGTCAGGCCACCATGGACAAGTACCCATCTGCATTATTGGAGGAGGAGGAGGTGGTGGTGGTGGTGGCGGAGGTGGTGGTGGGTCAGGCCACCAAAGTCAAGGCTCCATCTGCATTGGAGGTGGCAGCATGGGAGGAGGAGGAGGAGGTGGTTCAGGGCATCAAGGCCAAGGTCCCATCATTATTAGTGGAGGTGGTGGAGGTGGAGGTGGTGGTGGAGGTGGTGGTTCAGGCCACCAGGGCCAAGGTCCCATAATTATTAGTGGAGGTGGTGGAGGTGGAGGTGGTGGTGGAGGTGGTGGTGGTTCAGGCCACCAGGGCCAAGGTCCCATAATTATTAGTGGAGGTGGTGGAGGTGGAGGTGGTGGTGGAGGTGGTGGTGGTTCAGGTCATCAAGGCCAAGGCCCCGTCTGCCTCTCCTGTGGAGGAGGAGGTGGTGGTGGTGGAGGAGGAGGAGGTGGTTCCAGCCACCAAGGCCCCATCTGCATTGGAGGGGGGAGCATGGGAGGAGGAGGAGGAGGAGGAGGAGGCAGTTCAGGCCACCAGAGCCAAGGTACCATCATTATTGGTGGAGGTGGTGGAGGTAGTGGAGGAGGTGGTGGTGGTTCAGGTCATCAAGGCCAAGGCCCCGTCTGCATTATTGGTGGAGGAGGAGGAGGTGGTGGTGGAGGAGGAGGAGGTGGTTCCAGCCACCAAGGCCCCATCTGCATTGGAGGTGGCAGCATGGGAGGAGGAGGAGGAGGAGGAGGAGGTGGTTCCAGCCACCAAGGACAAAGGCCCATCGGTGGAGGTGGAGGTGGTGGTGGAGGTGGTGGTGGTTCAGGCCATCAGGGTCAAGGCTCCATCTGCATCATTGGAGGAGGTGGCTCCAGTGGAGGAGGTGGCGGTGGAGGTGGTGGTGGAGGTGGTTCCTCCATTCAGCAGCAGACCCAGCCAATCTCCTGGCCACCGCAGACCAAACACAAGTAGTGTCTGCAGAAGGGACTCTCAGACCAAGGAAGGCCAAGATCCGAACCTGCCTCACATTTCTTCCTCTAGTAAATTAAAAATATTTGCATTATCTCTTTCTCCTCTTCCTTGGGATGTTTCTGTCCAGTGCTCAAGCTGACCAGAACCTCTGGTGCTGTCTACCAAGCTTCATATCCGTTATCTGCCTCAATCTTCTTGCAGAAGACAATAAAACTTGAAATTCTGGAGATCTTCAGTGTCTGAGTGGTTGGATTTTACTTCATACCCTGACATGTGCACTAGTTCCATGATTATGTTTTTATTCTGAGCTGATTCTGTTGTCATGAAGCTCCTGAGCACAAGGGTGTTGAAAACCCACCTGTAGAAGAGGTGTTGGATTCCATAAGTAATCTTAGGTCATCTCCTAACGTCTGTTGCTCCTCAGGATCCAGAGTTTAGCCCATATCATATAAATTATAGAGTGGTTTAGGTTGGAAGGGATCTTCAAGATCATCTTGATCCAACCCCCTACATAGGCAGGGACACCTCCCACCAGCCCAGGCTGCTCCAAGCCCCATCCAACCTGCCCAAGAACGGTTCCAAGGATGGGCCTTCCACAACTTCCTTGGCCAACTTCTTCCAGTGTCTCACCACCCCCACATTAAAGAATTTCCTCCTAATGTCTCACCTCAATCTGCCCTCTGCCAATTTCAATCCATCCCCCTCATCCCATCCCTCCCTGCCCTTGGCCCAAGTCCCTCCCCAGCTTTCCTGGAGCCCCTTCAGGCACTGGAAGCTGCTCTAAGGAACCACAAAGTTCCACATTGCAGACTCTTCACTTCATCAAATCCCATGCAGTGCCCAAGGAAGTTTTCAGTGGTTTAGGGAGAGGAAAGGTCAAAAAATCTCTGGGCCAAAGGATGACAAGGTTTAGGTGTGAAGTCCTTGCACGTGTGTGGTGCAGAAGCTCTTGGTGCTCAGAGTTGCAACCAGCAGCTGTAGAAGAGAACTGAGGCATCTCTCCAACCCTTGCTCCAGCTCCGAACCCCTCATGGAACCAGTAGCCAGGACAGGACTTCAGAAAGGTCCTTCCAAGGGCTGAGGTGCTAAGGTTGGAGTCACCTGGGATCTCCTCATTCCCACAGGAAGACAACACAGCTCCAGGTGTGAGTCCTCGCAGGGAGTTTCCCTTCGGGAAAGGTTCCCTTTGATGTGGTATATTCTGGCAATTAGCAGGGAAAGGAAAATAAACCTTCTCTGCCCAAACTGCTCCATGTGATGACAGATGCCTGGAGGTGTCCCAGAAGAGACAGGAGTGACCCACACCTGGGGCAGGTAAAGGAGCTGCACGTTGATGTGCCCCTCTGCCCCCTGGGGACTCCAGGGACACAAGTATTGTCAAAGCACGTGTGGTTGAGCTTCTCCAGCCAGTGTTGCCACTGGATCAGCTGAGGGACCTGGGATTTCATGATGGAAACTCATAGTACCTGTGACTGGGAAACACAAGGTCACTGCCATTGCCTGTGTGGTGCTAACAGAAGCCTTGAGGTCCCAGTTCAAGGTGGTGGGAGTGTTGCTGGTGACCATCCCTGCACCTAGAAATGGCCAAGGACCACAAAAACCTGGAGCCAAGTCTCAGGGTGACAGCAGGAGCACAGCACCGCCTAGGAGCTTTTTGCTCCTTCAGAAATGCCAGAACCATCTCCCAGACTGGGATGAATTCACCTTTTTGGTTCATGTCCATCAAGATGCTGACACACAGGGTGGATGCTGGATCTGGTACCCTCTACCCTCAGCACTTCAGCTCCTTTCTCCAGCAGGTTCCACCCTTCCTCCCAGGGGCAGTGTGAAGCCTGCCCGACCTCCCTGCTGCCCGTGGTGCTGCACCCAGGCAAAAACCATGGAATCATAGCATGGTTGTGTTGGAAGAGGCCTTCAAAATCTAGTCCACCCCCCTGCCATGAGCAGGGACATCTTCAACTGGACCAGGTTTCTCAGAGCCCCATCCAACCTGGCCTTGAGTATTTCCAGGAAGGGGGTATCTACCACCACTCCAGTCAACCTGGGCTGGTGTCTCACCACCCTCAGGGTAAAAAATTTCTTCCTAATACCCAGTCAGAATCTTCCTCTTTCAGTTTAAAACCATCACCCCTTGTCCCATCCCTACAGGCCCTGCTCAAGTTTGTCCCCTGCTGCCAGAGTGGTGACTGAAGGGGTTGTGGAGCCCCACGTGTGTTGTGTGTTACAGACTATGGAGATGCCCAAGGGACAGAGGCAGGACTGCTGGAGATGTCTCTACTCACACTAGAGAGGTTGGACTGGGTGGTCTTTAAAGGCCCCTTCCAACCCAAAGCATTCTATGACTCCATGATGTCCCACCTCAAGGATGTTGGGTTAGCTGGAGTCCTACAATCCTTGAAGGCCACGAGCAGGAGCTAAGCTCCCATGTGATCCGACCTAGATGGCCGAGGAAGTGACGCACGAGAGAAGCATCGATCAGCTTCCATGAGTCAGGAGCAGTGGGCTGAAGGAGGACAATTTGCCCAGTAAATAAACCTGTCACCATTCCTTGGTGATGCCCTTGATGCCTCACTTCCCGCACGGGGCAAAATAAAAAGGGTATAAAAGTTGCTGGACCTCCCAGAGCTTCATTCGTTCAGCTTTGCTCTGTTGGACACCTTGGTGGAGCCAGGAAAGGTGAGTGAGGTGTTTCTTCTCCTGCTTCCATGCTTGCAAAACCTAAATGCTTTGGTGAAGAACACCTGGTGGGTGGTGGCTGGAAGGCTGGTAGATGGATTGAAATCTCCTGGTGATGTCAACAGGAGCAGGATCATCCCGTGTGTCCTGCTCTGAGCCAGGATGGAACCAATTTTCTTTTAATAACATGATTTTTCAGTTAAGTTTCTTCTAATTAACTTCAGACACTGAAGTCCCCAACTTCTTTGTCACTCAGCGTCAGCTTTTCCCACCTCACCTCCAGTTGTTGGAGTTAGAGACTCATTTGGCTTTAAAATACTCCTAGAAACTCACCCTTCCATCCCTTTCCCACCAAAATGAAGCTCCTCACCCATGGATGTTCAGTGAGGTGCCCAGAGTTGATGGTTGGACTTGATGATCTTGAAGGTCTTTTGCCACCTAAATGATCCGATGACTTGGAGCTCTCCATGTTTATGGATGGTGCTGGAGAAGGGTGGGCAGAGCCAAGGTCACTCCTTGGCTGTGCTGAACTTCACATGGGCTGGAACAAAAGAAGGAGAAAAAAGGGTCACAGGTGTGACCCCCAGGTGGGGATAAATGACTCCAAATTGACCAAATGAAGGATATTCCATCCCAAAAAACCCCACACCCTCAGTTCCTCAGTGCTGGAGACTGGGCTGATGGTGTTGGGTCCTTCTGGTGGGGGGAATTCTGGTGGCAATGGTTGCTCTCCAGGACAAAAGATGCTCTTTCTTGCAGGTTCACTGCTCAAAGATGTTCTCCAAACAGACCTCAGGAGGCTGCCATGGAATGTCCTCCCAGTCCAGTGGATGCCACAGTGGGGGCTCAAGCTGCCATGGGGGCATGATGGGAGGTGGAGGTGGTGGTGGATGGTCTAGTGGTGGGATGGGAGGAGGATCCAGTGGTGGGTCTTCAGGATCAAAGATCATCATTGGAGGCGGAGGAGGTGGGGGAGGGGGATCCTCTGGATGCTGTGGTGGGGGATCCAGTGGTGGGATGGGAGGAGGATCCAGTGGTGGGTCTTCAGGATCAAAGATCATCATTGGAGGCGGAGGAGGTGGGGGAGGGGGATCCTCTGGATGCTGTGGTGGGGGATCCAGTGGTGGGATGGGAGGAGGATCCAGTGGTGGGTCTTCAGGATCAAAGATCATCATTGGAGGCGGAGGAGGTGGGGGAGGGGGATCCTCTGGATGCTGTGGTGGGGGATCCAGTGGTGGGATGGGAGGAGGATCCAGTGGTGGGTCTTCAGGATCAAAGATCATCATTGGAGGCGGAGGAGGTGGGGGAGGGGGATCCTCTGGATGCTGTGGTGGGGGATCCAGTGGTGGGATGGGAGGAGGATCCAGTGGTGGGTCTTCAGGATCAAAGATCATCATTGGAGGCGGAGGAGGTGGGGGAGGGGGATCCTCTGGATGCTGTGGTGGGGGATCCAGTGGTGGGATGGGAGGAGGATCCAGTGGTGGGTCTTCAGGATCAAAGATCATCATTGGAGGCGGAGGAGGTGGGGGAGGGGGATCCTCTGGATGCTGTGGTGGGGGATCCAGTGGTGGGATGGGAGGAGGATCCAGTGGTGGGTCTTCAGGATCAAAGATCATCATTGGAGGCGGAGGAGGTGGGGGAGGGGGATCCTCTGGATGCTGTGGTGGGGGATCCAGTGGTGGGATGGGAGGAGGATCCAGTGGTGGGTCTTCAGGATCAAAGATCATCATTGGAGGCGGAGGAGGTGGGGGAGGGGGATCCTCTGGATGCTGTGGTGGGGGATCCAGTGGTGGGATGGGAGGAGGATCCAGTGGTGGGTCTTCAGGATCAAAGATCATCATTGGAGGCGGAGGAGGTGGGGGAGGGGGATCCTCTGGATGCTGTGGTGGGGGATCCAGTGGTGGGATGGGAGGAGGATCCAGTGGTGGGGCTTGGGGATCAAAGGGCATGATGGGAGGTGGTGGTGGATCCAGTGGTGGAATGGGAGGAGGATCTAGTGGTGGGTCTTGGGGATCAAAGAGCATCATGGGAGGTGGAGGTGGTGGTGGATGGTCTAGTGGTGGGATGGGAGGAGGATCCAGTGGTGGATTTTGGGGATCAAAGAGCATCATGGGAGGTGGAGGTGGTGGTGGATGGTCTAGTGGTGGGATGGGAGGAGGATCCAGTGGTGGATTTTGGGGATCAAAGAGCATCATGGGAGGTGGAGGTGGTGGTGGATGGTCTAGTGGTGGGATGGGAGGAGGATCCAGTGGTGGATTTTGGGGATCAAAGAGCATCATGGGAGGTGGAGGTGGTGGTGGATGGTCTAGTGGTGGGATGGGAGGAGGATCTAGTGGTGGGTCTTGGGGATCAAAGGGCATCATGTGAGGTGGAGGAGATGGAGGAGGTGGAGGATCCTCTGGGTGCTGCGGTGGAGGCTCCGGTGGTGGCAGCGGTGGCTCCTCAGGCCATGCAATCATCATCAGCTCTGGAGGGGGCACTGGAGGGTCCATGCAGCACAAATGCCCCATCAGCATTCCCCACATCAAGTCCCATCAGACCAAGCAGACCTGCCACTGGTCCCCCTGCCACAAGTGACAGCCCCACGTGGCCCTGGCACTCAGAAGAACAGCCCTGCTTCTCTTCTCCAAGCTTGACTGTTTCCACCAACCTGTCCTCTGCCCTTCTCCTCCCTTGTGCCCCCCCTCCCCATGATGTGAACTTCCTGATGGCTCTTCTCACCTCCATGTGAAGGCAAATAAAAACCCCTGTGATCAGAAAGATCTGCTCTTGCCTGGTTGCTCTTCCCCCTTGTCAGCCCCTTGGTTGCTTCCAAAAGATCAATAATGCATCCAAGATCTTCAGCTCTGAAATCTTCAGCTGCAGTCCTGGAGGAGATTGATGTCAACAGCTCCTGCTTGAGAGAGACCTTGGTTCTCCAGCAGATGATCTGTGTCTCTCTTGCAAATAACATCCACCAAGGCTGCAACTTGAACCTGGGGAGCAGGTCCACCTCGGTTTCCCTTTCCCAGAGCAGCCCACACCCTGGGTCTCACTGCAGGGATGTCCAGTGCAGACACCAGGATCCTTTGGAGATGTAGTTGGGGGTTGATGTTCCCCATTTCTCTAGATCTTTCACAAAAAAAACCACCCATGAATTATGGTCACAAACCTTGAGTAGCATTTGTGCTGAAGTCCTCAACGGGGCCTCCTCAGGACAGGGGAGATGTCAAGTCTTGAATTCCATAAATGTTAAGCCAAGAGGCTCTTTTGTCCCTTTGCCACACACAAGTGGTTGGCAGGAATCCAAATTAGGAATAAAAGGGATCCTGGGCCATGCAAACGCTTGATGGATCATGGGTGATGGGACTTCTGCCTCTCATATCAAAACTGGGAAGTTCCTCCTACCCCAGCAGCTCCTTCCCCATGTCCCAGGCTGCCAGGGTTGCTGTGCACCAAGGAAGCTGCTGGGAGGAAGGATCGTAGGGTCTGGCCAAGGTTTTTCTCTCCCTCCCACCCACGCTCACCGAGGGACCATCCCCAAGGATTTTGTGTTGGTGGGGCTGGAAGGTGACGTGACCTGTTGGCCCATCTGTGGTGATTGGGCTGCAGGGCAGCCCGGGCAAAGCATCAGGAAACAGGCAGCGTGGCCCAAATCGGGGGCAGTGTCCACCATGAAGCCTCTTGTATCCACCCAACAAGGTGTCAAAGCTGCTCTTTAACCTGGGGGGTTGTGCCATGTCCACCTCCCAGAAGCTGTGGCTGATCTTCCTCCATGGCAGGTCCCACACCCATGTGTGCTGCAGGGTCAGACCAGCAGGGTCCAGCCTCGGGGTCTCCTCACACCACCCCTTGCAGGAGCACCTCTCACCACCCCTGCTGAGACCCTCCTCAGCCTTTCCTCACACCCAGGTCCCCATGACCACATGTTCCTGTGGGATCTACTGTAGGTGATCCTGCTCTAGCAGGGGTGTTGGACTAGACATTCCTCAGAGGTCCCTTCCAACCCTGACCACTCTATGAGCTGCAGATCCCAGGTGCCCCTTGGGGCAAGTCCCTGCAGATTAAAACCATGGAGGGATCAGGGTGTCCTGGTGCTCAGCAGCACCATGTCCAAGCTTCATGGGTGAGAGCCAGAGCTGCAGAAAGACCTTAGATTTGGTGCTGGGAGCAGAGCTCAGGCTGCTGGAGGGAGTCCAAGGCAATAATGAAGGAAGCCCCTGCACCCACCTTCCTGGTGCTCCTGTCCCATTCCAAAGGAGCTGTGTGCAAGCTCCAAATTATCTTCATAGAAACATGAGATGGTTTGGGCTGGAAGGGACCTTAAAGATCATCTAGATCCAACCCCCTGCACGGGCAGGGACACCTCCCACCAGCCCAGGCTGCTCCAAGCCCCATCCAACCTGCCCTTCAACACCCCCAGGGATGGGGCAGACACAGCTTCCCTGGTCAACCTGTTTCAGGGTCTCACCACCCTCAGAGTGAAGAATTTCTTCCTCATGTCCAACCTCAATCTCCCTCCTCCAGTTTTAATCCATTCCCCCTTGTCTTCTCACTGCCTTGTCAAAAGTCCCTCCCCAGCTTCCCTGCAGATGGTGACAGGGCTGGGCCTGCTGCTGTCACCCATCCTCTTGGCTAAACCCCCCCAATTATGTTGCCCTCTGCTCATGTCCCGTGGGTGCTGTTGTCAACCTCCAAGCACGTGTGACACAGGGACAGGGTGAAGCTGCAGAGCTGAGCAGGCAGCACTGCCATGACTGCCCTGACCAATTGTCACGCTGCAGCAGGTCCAACACCCAGGTCCTCCTCAGCCTCCAGTGTGGGGGGGCTGCTCCGTGAAGCAGGACCCTCAGAAAATGGGCCCTGTTGAAGCAGAAGAAATGGTTCATGTCTTAAGAGTTCCAGGGTTGGGTCTTGATGGTCTTCAAATGCGCCTCTATGAACAGAAAGGTGTTGAGGTCTCCCCACCACAGCCTGATGGTCAGGACCCCTGGGAAGCTGGAGCTGAGGACAAACCTCTCTGCTTAGTCATGGAATTGTAGGATGGTTTCGGTTGGTGGGGACCTTAATGATCATCTAGTTCCAACGCCCTGCATGGGCAGGGACACCTCCCACTGGATCAAGTTGCTAAATCCAGCAGGAGCCTCCACCTTGGGCTCCCAAAGGGTGAGGTACGTGTCCCCCACGCCTCTGTCACCCTCATGGGGCCTTTGGAAATGGGTCTGGTTTGATGTGCTCCAAAGTGGTGCACTGCCCCTTCAGAGGTGGAACCTCTGGCCTGCTGGGCACATGGTTGCCTTTCCCTAGATGTGCTCCTGCTCCCCATCCAGCTCCTCAGTCCTTGAGGAAACCTCTTTCCCCCAAAACTCCCTGGGACTCTGCTCCAGCAGATCCTTCACCCTTGTCCTTCCACCAGGCTCCAGCCCAAACTCTCTCCAAAGTCCCTCAGCATCTACTCCACCTCCACTCTCTGCTGAGCACCTGAGAAGTTTCAGCCCTGCAGAAAAGCCTTGTGGATCCCCAAGGTGGATCCTCCAGGAGCCGTTTGCCCCCAACATTCCAGAGCAAGACTCCCGGAAATTAATTATTAAGTAGAATTAACAGCTCCTCTGCAGAACCTGATTGAACCATCTCCTTCCTATCACCTCTGCTGCAAGTGAGTCAAAGGAGGAGGCATCTGAGGCCACGGTCAGCCAGTAGATCTTTCTGCATTCCTTGGGGTGTCTCACTTCCCTCAAGAGCAGAACACACAGAGGATAAAAGCTCCCCAAGGCAGAGGCTCCTCATTCTCCTGCCACCGAGCCCTGGGCACCCTTCCAGTTGAGCTGCAGGTAAGACCCTTCACAAGGGACCTTTTTGAACCCTTCCCCAGACAGGTGGCTCCACCAACAGATCTCTGAGGGTGCTTTGAATGAGGGAAACATCAGATGGGCTTCTCCAGGATCCAGTGTGACGTGCCAAGGAGACACCAGACGCCTTCCTTGCAGGAGGAGCTGTCGCTGATGTTCTGAGGGCACAAAACCAAGGCTGGACATCCAGATGCTCCAGTGTCAGGGGCCTGTAAATTCAGGAGGATCTCAGCTTTATAGACCAGTGGCTCTGAGCTCATCAGGCCATGTGTGCAGAGCTCCAGAGGGACCCTCAGAGCTCCTGCATGCAGAGATTTCCTGGGGCTCTTTTGATCTGCAGACCCTGGAGCTTTTCCTTGCAGAAATTTCCTGCTGCAGGTCCTTCCTGCAGGGCTGCAGAAGATGGAGCAGATGGGGGGTTTCCAGGGTTCTGCTCCATGTTGGTTTGCTGGGCAGGTCCAGCAGCATCTGAAAGGGGCTCCTCTCTGACAGCATTTTCTCTTGCAGGTTGACTTCTCAAAGATGTGCTCCAGAAACACCTCCAGAGGCTGCTATGGAATGTCCTCCCAGTCCAGTGGATGCCACAGTGGGGGCTCCTGCTGCCATGGGGGCAGCTCCTCTGGCCACCAGGCACAGGGCTCCTCCTGCTGTGGGGGCTCCAGCTCAGGCAGCTGGGGTGGGGGCAGCAGTGGCACTGGCAAGATCATCATCAGCTCTGGTGGTGGAGGAAGTGGATCCTGCTGTGGTGGTGGATCCAGTGGTGGCATGGGAGGAGGATCTAGTGGGGGATCTTGGGGATCAAAGAGCATCATTGGAGGTGGAAGCAGTGGAGGGTCCTCTGGGTGCTGTGGTGGGGGATCTAGTGGTGGCATAGGAGGAGGATCCAGTGGTGGGTCTTGGGGATCAAAGAGCATCATTGGAGGTGGAAGCAGTGGAGGGGCCTCTGGGTGCTGTGGTGGGAGCTCCAGTGGTGGCATGGGAGGAGGATCTAGTGGGCGATCTTGGGGATCAAAGAGCATCATTGGAGGTGGAAGCAGTGGAGGGGCCTCTGGGTGCTGTGGTGGGAGCTCCAGTGGTGGCATGGGAGGAGGATCTAGTGGGCGATCTTGGGGATCAAAGAGCATCATTGGAGGTGGAAGCAGTGGAGGGGCCTCTGGGTGCTGTGGTGGGAGCTCCAGTGGTGGCATGGGAGGAGGATCTAGTGGGCGATCTTGGGGATCAAAGAGCATCATTGGAGGTGGAAGCAGTGGAGGGGCCTCTGGGTGCTGTGGTGGGAGCTCCAGTGGTGGCATGGGAGGAGGATCTAGTGGGCGATCTTGGGGATCAAAGAGCATCATTGGAGGTGGAAGCAGTGGAGGCTCATCTGGGTGCTGTAGTGGGGGATCAGGTGGTGGCATGGGAGGAGGATCCAGTGGTGGGTCTTCAGGAGGCCAGATCATCATTGGAGGTGGAAGCAGCGGAGGATCCTCTGGGTGCTGCGGTGGGGGATCCAGTAGTGGATCTTCAGGATCAAAGATCATCATTGGAGGTGGAAGCAGTGGAGGCTCATCTGGATGCTGTGGTGGGGGATCAGGTGGTGGCATGGGAGGAGGATCCAGTGGTGGATCTTGGGGATCAAAGATCATAACGAAGCAGTGGAGGCTCATCTGGATGCTGTGGTGGGGGATCAGGTGGTGGCATGGGAGGAGGATCCAGTGGTGGGTCTTCAGGAGGCCAGATCATCATTGGAGGTGGAAGCAGTGGAGGATCCTCTGGGTGCTGCGGTGGAGGCTCCGGTGGTGGCAGCGGTGGCTCCTCAGGCCATGCAATCATCATCAGCTCTGGAGGGGGCACTGGAGGGGCCATGCAGCACAAATGCCCCATCAGCATTCCCCACATCAAGTCCCATCAGACCAAGCAGACCTGCCACTGGTCCCCCTGCCACCAGAAGTAACAGCCCCACGTGGCCCTGGCACTCAGCAGAAGCAGCCCTGTCTCAGCCATGTCACCTTCTCCCCCCCAGACCTGCCTCTCCCTGACCCTGTCTCCTCAGCATGTCCTCTTCTCCTCCCTTGATCCACTGCTGTGCTGAGGACTCCAGGATTTCCAGCCTGGTGCCCACCTGCTGCTGTTGGGTGGCCTTTGCTAAGGCTCTGCAGCTCCTCCAAAGATCACATTATCTACTCAATAAATGTCCTAATATCTCAAATTTGCCTTTTTTTTTTGGCTGTTTGTTCTGAATTGTATTCTCAACCAGCATCCTCTGGTCTTGGAAGCTAGAATTCTATCTGAGATGTCTCACTCCTCTCTGTAAAGAGTCATAGACTCATGGAATGGTTTGGGTTGGAAGGGACCTTAAAGACCATCTAGCTCCAGTTAGATGCAGACCCCAGCTTTGCAGACCCCACAGCAGCCCCACTCAGAGGGTAAATTTCACCCCTTGGGTCAACGAAGCAGAAGGAAACCACAAGCCCAGCAGGGAGCCCCTCAGGCAGCTCAACCCACTCCAAAACGTTCCTCCAGGCCTTCATCCCTCCTTGCCCAACCCGTGGAAACCTCCTTTGAAGTGCTGAGGGCAGCACCACCACCCCTTTCTGCCTGTAGATGTGGCCTTTTGCCAAAGCTGAAACTCAGTGTCCCCAGGGCAGCCTTGCTCAGAGCTGAGCAGACTTGCAGGACTTGGGCTGAGCTGGAGGACCTCAGGCTGCAAGGTGGACACCATGATGGGCAGCACTGCTGGCATGGCCACAGCAGCTCTCTGCAGCCGTGTCCCTGGTGCTTGGTGTTCTCTCCAAGCCAGAGGAAGGATGTCCTGTGTCCAGTTCTGGAGCCCCCAACACGGGAAGGACATAGAGCTCTTGGAGGGAGACCAGAGGAGACCATGGAGATGATCCCAGGGCTGGAGCAGCTCTGGAGCCAGGCTGGGAGAGTTGGGGTGTTGAGCCTGGAGAGGAGAAGGCTCCAGGGAGACCTTAGAGCAGCTTCCAGGGCCTGAAGAGGCTCCAGGAAAGCTGGGAAGGGTCTTCTCACCACGGTGTGAGAGGACAACAGGCAATGGTTTTAAGCTGGAAGAGGGAGATTTAGGTTGGACATGAAGAAGAAATTCTGGAGTGTGAGGGTGGTGAGACACAAGATCATGTTGCCCTAGGAGGTTGTGGCCCCTAAGCTTTCTTGGAGCATCTCTTGCAAAATACCTCAGCTGGGTACTTCACTGTTGATGACCACCTAGTTTGATGCAAATGTCTTCCTCAGGAAACCTCCCACTGGAGACACCAGTAAGATGCTGGAGGGATCCACCTGCTGTGTGACCACCAGATGCTTTCTGAGCATTTGCCTTCCAGGTACCCAGAGCACCTCCTGGGTATCCAGGACATCTTCTGGGTACACACTGACCATCTCCTGGTTTCCCACTGATCCCACCCACCCTTCCAGCCATGTCACTAGCACTGCTACACCACTGAACCACAGCCTCCCTGCCAGTTTGCTGTGGTGGGTCTTCAGGATCAAAGAGCATGATGGAAGATGGAGGTAGTGAAGGTTCCTCTGGATGCTGCAGGGGGGCTCTTCAGGCTAAAGGATGGGAGGAGGTTACAGCTGTGGCAGTGGGGGATCTGGCCAGAAGTAGTGGAGGAGGTTGTTCAACTGGATACTATGGTGGGGGGTCTAGTGGTGGCATGGGAGGAAGATCTGGTGGTGGGTCTTCAGGAGCAAAGGTCATAAGTGGAGGTGGAGGTAGTGGGGGATCCTCTGGATGTTGTTATGGAGGATCCAGCTTTAACATGGGAGGAGGATCCAGTGGTGGCAGTGGGGGATCTGACCAGAAGATCATGATTAGCTCAGGTGGTGGAGGAGGTGGCTCATCTGGATGCTGCAGGACCCGGCCACCACCACCCTCTGCCCCACGCTGGTTAATCCTCTTGCTCAGCAGGCCCCTACACCCACACTCCCACCCACCTTCCCTGTTCTCCTCCAGCATTGCCACCTCCCTGGGGACCAAATGGGTCCTCTGTAGCTCAGGACAGGAGGACAGGAACAGGACCATTAAGCAGGAGCAGCAATTAGCGCCACCAGCAACTCAACCAGCAGCTTGAAGGAAAGATATTGATCAGATGTCATGAGTCAAAGCACCCACTGAAATCAGAGCTTGATTGGTAAGTAAATCCCTGCCATTCCTTAGGGTGTCTCACTTCCCATATATGTTAAATGCCATATAAAGGTTCCTGTCTGGGAAAGCTCCTCGTTCAGTTGACTTTTATCTCCAAAATGTGTTTCAGATGGATGAAGAGGGTAAGTCCTGCTCTTTTCTGACACTTAATTGTTTCAGATTCCTGGGAGTGGGAGACAACTTGAGTTGAGATCTTGACACCTGCTTGCAGCTCTGCCCAGGATGCCTAAGAATCCATGGCAAAGTTCTCAGGATCCAAAGGGAGGTGTCCCTGCCCATGGGTGGGACTGAATGATCTTTAGATCATGGAACTGTCTGGGTTGGATGGGACCTTAGAGACCACCCAGATGGTCTTTGAGGTGGCTGCTCCATCCCTGGAAGGCTGGATGGAGCTTGGAGCAACCTGATCAAGTGGGAGGCATCCCTGCCCATGGCAGGGGGGTGAGACTGGATGATCTTTAAGGTCCTTTCCAACCCAAATGAGTCTGTGACTCTGTGACCTCCAGGGCTGTGCCAATCACCTTATGTAAAAGACCTTCTGGGATGCTACACAACGATTGCAAGAACACAACCAGCAGTGTCATCTTGCATGGACACTTAGATCCACCAGCCTTGCCTCGGTTGAAAACCAGCAGCCAGGATGAGACCTTTGGTGCTCTCACAGCTCTGTGGTCACAGTCAGGACGACGAGCAGGGAGAAGCACAGCAGTGATGAGGTGTTTAAAGGATGTATTTCAGCTTTCCATTCCCTGGAAATAAACCCTGGAGATAAGAAAGAGAAAAGCTCTCCCAGGAGGAGACAAAATGCTCTCACATTAGAAGAGCAGCTGGGCAGTGCCCTGCTCTGAGGTGTTGACTTTCTGACCCCACCACTGGTCACCTCCCACCTGCTGTGGGGCATCAAAGAGGCAAAAATAAGTGCAGGTTTGAGTGGTTTTTCCCCTTTCAGATTTATCAGTGGCTCAGCAGGAGGTGTCCCCGCCGGAACAGGGGCTTCAACCATGAGATCTTCTCCCACCACAGAGGAGGCAGAAGTGGCAACATCCACGGACGTGGCTCCTTCTTCTGTGATGGAGAAGGCTCAGTCATCTACGACCGAGGACCTTCCCCCTATTGGCCATCATCATCTACCTGGGACATCACAGGGAGGTACAGCTGTGGAGGTGATGGGTCTGTTGTCATCACCAGCCGTGACAGCGAGGGGACAACTTCCTGGGGCATTAGTGGGGGGACAGTCCCAACCTATGGCACTGGGCATGGAATGGGGAGCAGTGAGGACTCAGGGGGTGGTGGAGGATCCAGCTACCATGGTGGGATACGCTACGATGTGTCACCAAGAGAAAGTGCTTTGCCAACGTGTCGGGGAGGTGGTGGGGCAGGGTGGTACAGCGGGGGGTCGGGCTACGGCACCGGGGGGTACTCGTGCCCAGAGTTCAGCTCTGGAGGTGCTGGATCCTCCCAAGACATGCAGCAGAAATGCCCCGTGGTCATTCCCAACATCGAGCCCCAGCAGAGCAAGAAGACCAGCCAGTGGCCCCTCAGTGAGAAGAAGTGACTGACCCAGCAGCTCAAGGGGAAGTGCTCTGGATGTGCCCCAGAGGGGCTTCTCCCCAGCTGTGTCACTATGGCCAAGGAGCACTGGGTTCCTCACCTTGGGCTGTGCCAGCAACTCTGGTGCCAGCACTGCTGGGGAAAGAGATTTGTCCCTCAGTCGTGGGAAAAGCTCCTCCTCTCCAGCTCCTTTTGCTCCTGGGTTGGAAAATAAAACCTCCAAGTCTGTGGGATATCCCAGTATCTGAATGATTCCTTTCATTCCCGGCTCCTTCACTCCAAAGGAGTCTACTCCACATCACAAGATTCACCTTCCAACATTCTGAATGTCTATTTTACACCCACTTAATATTTCATTGAATAGAATAAAAAGAGATTGTTTTTTAACAGCAAGGGAAGGGGTGTTTTGTTTTGGTCATTCTGCTCTTGCTGAAGTCAGAGCTCCCCCCACGCTGCTCCCACCAAATGGGAACCTTCAGACCCTCTGCCCAGACCCTCTGCATGGGCACAAGTCCCAGGCTCTGGGACCTGCAGTGAGGAGATAGGGAAAAAATCCAGGTGATTTCCGACTGATTATTTACAACGTGACCTCAGGAGCACAAGGCTGTTTACCTGGAAACAATTACACACCAGGCTCCCTGTCCCAGGGAGATTGCAGGGGATGTTGTAAGTCAGGGCACGTCAATCTTGGCCTTGCACCATGAGGCAACTCAACCCAGCTCATTGGCTGCTCCACCTCAACCTGCTTCGTGGCATTTTGGGGAGGTCCTGGCCCTAAATTAGGCCCAGGGAGATGGTTCCTCTGTGCTGATGGGACAGCACAGGGGTGGCTTGAACATCTAGGTGGCATTTGGCAAACATTTGGTCATTTGGGACTGTTCTCTGGGGGGTTTTTGACTCCTCCATATGTTGGAAAGGAAGGAAACAACCACCCATAGGTCTGTGCCCATTTAAATGGGAGATAAAAGTACATCAAATTATATTGTAGAAAATTTTTTGCCCTTGCTGCTTTCCCCCCCTGCAGGGATTTTGACCCTTTCAGCTCAGTAAAAAGCCAGAAAACCTGACCTTGATGTTCATAAAACACCACAGGTCACAAAACCCAAACCCTCTGAGCTCCAATCCCAGCTTCAGTGTCACATCGAGTACCCTATACACTGGGAAATGTTGCAAGACTGTGGGGCAGGGAACATTCCACAGGGTTTTGTCATGAGCCACATGAAATTCCATTCTAAAAT